GTCATGATTTTACAGTTTGTGAGATCGAGCCCCACATTGGGCTCTGTGCTGACAGTGCTGAGCCTGCTTGGGATTCTCCCTTCCTCTCTCTCTGCCCCTCCCCACTCGCACGTGCATGTGCACACACATGCTCTCTCTCTCTCAAAATAAACTTTATTATTATTAATTTTTTTTTAATGTTTAGGTTTGAGAGAGAGAGAGAGAGACAGAGCATGAGCAGGGGAAGGGCAGAGAGAGGGGGACACAGAATCTGAAGCAGGCTCCAGGCTCTGAGCTGTCAGCACAGAGCCCGACACAGGGCTCGAACCCATGAACTGTGAGATCATGACCTGAGCTGAAGTTGGACGCTTAACCAACTGAGCCACCCAGGCACTTCTCAAAATAAATAAACTTAAAAATTTTTTTTCCAGAAAACAATTATTTTTCATAAAAAATCCTATTAAATTAATGTATAGGAGATTTATTTGTCTAAAATGAATTAATTGCTATTATTAGAATTTGCGTTTTAATTTCTAAAAAAAACGCCTGGGTGCCTCAGTCAGTTGAGCGTCCGACTTCGGCTCAGGTCATGATCTCACAGTTCGTGGGTTTGAGCCCCTCATCAGGCTCTGTGCTGACTGCTTGCCCAGAGCCTGGAGCCTGCTTCAGATTCTGTGTCTCCTTCTCTCTCTGCCCCTCCCTGCTCACGCTTTGTCTCACTCTATTTCTCAAAAAAAAATAAATAAATAAATAAATAAATAAATAAATGTAAAAAAATTAATTTCTAATATGGTAGATACTAGTTTTGGGATTTTTAATTTTTATGTATATAAAGGGGCCCTGGCACCAAAATATTTAAAAACCTACTCCTGTGCTACTCTTTTTACTTACAGTTCTCTTTTCTGCCTGAAGAAATCCTACACATAATTGTTATTTAGTTATTTGTTCAAAAAACATTGAGCATCTATCAAGAACCTGGCTTTTGCTTGCTGCTGGGGACATGGTCCCAAGCCCTTATGGACATTGTTTGATAGGGAAGACAAATGAAACAGAGAACTGAAACACAGTATGATAAATGTTATTGGTGATAGACACATAAATGCTGTGGGAATACAGGCTATTGTCGGAATCACTTGCTAACTCATCTAGAACATGTGACTGATTGATTTTTCAAAGACAGTAAGGGGAGTGACTGAAGTTAGCAGGAAACTGTTCACATGTTGCTCTGGGAGGAAAGAAGGAAACTACAAATGTATTGATTGTCATCTTTTTGCATGCCCTATGCTATGCTAGGCGTTGGAACAAATGTGGTCTTAATTTTCATAAAAACCCTGTCGGCAGAGATAATTATCCTCATTTTGCAAATGAGATATTGGAGGCTCAGAGAAGTTGAACATCCTGTCCAACATCATATAGATGTAACTAATGGAGCTGGGATTTTGACATTTGTGTTCTGACTCCAAGTCCAGGGCTCTTTTATTAATAATGCATTGCTAAATGGTTGGATCTTCTAAGGTATTTCCAGGTGGCTCTGGGAAACCTTGCCAGGTTGGAACGAAGGTATAAGAGAAGATAGACGAGGTGTCAGGAAGGAGAGAGACAACCTAGGAAATGCTTGGTAGAAGGAGTCATTTGTGAATTTTGACTAACATGGTTTTTCTGGATAGGATTCTATGACCTTAGGAGACATCAAGGTTTTATACTCCTTTATTCTCAATCCCTTAAATCCTTCTCTATGCCAGATGATGCCAACAGCAAAGGTCACCTGTCTGTCTGATCAGTTTACAAACCAGAGCCTAGCATTTGAAGCTAAATTTCTTGCACCAGCTATAGGCTTTTGGGAGAGAGGCTGGCTGACCTTAGGCCACTCATGCCCAGCCTGGAGGCCCCCAGTCCCTAGAGCTCAGCATTTAAACTTTTTCCTGTATTTAAAAAAGTTTATTAGAGGCTTCTGGGTGGCTCAGTCAGTTAAGCGTCCGACTTGGGCTCAGGTCAGAATCTCGAGGTTCGTGAATTTGAGCCCTGTGTTTGGCTCTGTGCTGACCCTTCAGAACCTGGAGCCTGTTTCAGATTCTGTGGCTCCCTCTCTCTATGCCCCTCCCTTGTTCACACTCTGTCTCTCTCTCTCTCAAAAATAAATAAACTTAAAAAAAAAAGCTCATTAGAAGTTGTGCTTTATGATAAACCTGTTTGTGGATACAGGCTAATGAAAAGATTGTATTTCTTTGCTTTGAGTCAGAAATCTGTCAACTTAATGTGGTTCAGGTGTGCTACCTAAGGTTTTCTAGAACAAGGGTCAGCAAACTATAGCCCTGGGGTCAAATCCAGCCCACTGCATGTTTTTTGAATAAAGTTTTATTAGAACACAACTTAGCTCATTTACTCATGTTTTGTCTGTGGCGGCTTTTGTGCTCTAAGACAGAGTTAAATAGTTGTAACAGAGACTATATGGCTCATAAATCCTAAATTATTTATTATCTGGCCTTTTACAGAAAAAGTTTGCTGACCCCTAGGGTAATCCTGATTCTTTCTGTCATGGTACTTAGCACATGGTGTTTTAATTGCCTCTGTCCCCTACTTTTAATAATATATATATTTAAGTTTATTAACTTATTTTTAGAGAGAGAGAGAGAGAGAGGGAGAGCGCATGTGTGTGTGCAGGTGTGCATGCATGTGCAAGAAGGGGAGGTGCAGAGAGAGAGGCAAAAAGAGAGAGAATCCCAAGCAGGCTCCGTGCTGCCAGGGCTCGATACGGGGCTCAATCTCATGAACTATGAGATCATGACCTGAGCTGAAATCAAGAGTCAGATGTTTAACCACCTGAGCCTCCCAGGAGCCCCTCTTCCCTACTTTTAAAACTAAGCTCCTTGAGAGCAGGGGTGAGATCTGACTCATCTCTCTTTATGCCCCATGCTGATCGCAGAGCCTGACATATTAAGAGCACACAATAAATGTTGTTTAAATGGGCACATCATGTGCTGATTAAAAAGCTCTGATGGGCAATTTTTTTTTTCTCATTCTGATAGGCAATTATATGCGCCTCTGATTAAGACAAAAACAGAATTAAGGGAAGGAAAACATGTTGGTTACGCTAATCCCAGTGCTGTGTGCCTCACCTATGAACCAGTCATTACTTACTGCAATTTTTTTTCGATAGGTAGATGACACAATCATGCCAAGAGCTCTTGTTGGTGAGGAAGTTGAGAAACAATGCCTTAATCTTTGGCTGCATTCTACCACCACCGCTTTACCCCACCCTCTGCTCCCCACTCCCAACTTAGCAGGACAAATGTAGTAGAATATACAGTTACATGGAGATATTTCTTCTTCATGTATTGTATTCTTCTTACTTGTCTTTTTTTAAATGTTTATTTTTGAGAGTGAGAGTGCGTGCGTGTGCGTGAGTGGGGGAGGGGCAGAGAGAGAGGGTAACAGAGGATCTGAAGTGGGCTCTGTGCTGACAGAAAAAGAGTCCAGTGTAGGGCTCAAACTCCCTGAACCTCGAGATCATGACCTGGGCCAAAGTCGGACACTTAACTGACGGAGCCACCCAGGCACTGCTTACTTTTTGTCTTCTATAAAGCCATTTCTTCAGTGTGCTTCTTACCATCTGTGACTAACGGAAGATGAAACCACGCTAAAGCTGTTTGGTCACCTTGGCATAAAGATAGGTGAAGTACCGACCTGGGAGTCAGTAAACCTGGGCCCTTGCTGTGACTCTTCAGCTGTCTTTGATTTGGGGCACATCAGTTAACATCTGTGAGCTCCAGTATCCAACATGTTTTTATTGAGTCACATCTGGGACACTTGACACATTTAATATTTACATCTCTCCCTCATTTTGAAAAGGATTTGAGCAACTCGTGAGTGACAGAGAGTTGACTTGTCCTGTCTGTTCCCTGTCTCTGACCAGCAGTCAGCTCAATGATTAAATGGATTGGAGTGTTTTGGGACTTTGATCAGTGCCTCGGAGAAGGCCTCACAGCCACAACAGCCTCTCTACCCTGTCCTTATTTTCTCTCCTGTGACAACTTCTTCCTTGGGAGTAATCTGAGGAGTTTTTGCTGGAGAGAAGGAATCAAGATCAGGGTCAAAGGGAAAGAGGAATTTTAGAAGCTAAGAATTGGAAGACATACTAGAAACTTTACTTAAAATATCTTTTTCAGATAGTGAACTTGAGGCCTGGAGAAGGGACGTGACCTCACTTGGTAGAGCTAAGACTAGATGCCAGGTCTGCCTGCTGTGTGTGTGCGCGGTGTTTTCCAGGGTTCTAAGAGAGGAGTAGGTGGCCTCGGCTCTCGTGCTGGTTTTTGTGTCACATTAACGACTGTGTCGGTGGGTGGGGGAAGCTGTACTGCAGACCTGCCACGCTGTTGCACCCGGTGTGCCCAGGACCTTAGATGTCTGAGAGCTATTTGCTGACCGTAGCTGTCAATGGGCAGGCATAGCATGTGAAGGGTTTCTCCAGTTAGTTTGTGACTGGCATTATGTTATTATTACCAGCAGTGACAAAGTGAACCAAAAGGAAAACTACATATTATTTTGGCATTGCAATGAATGGGCTGTCTTCCTGTTTCTGGAAAGATTGTATTCACGTGCATTTATTTATTGACTGATGAAAAATGGTATTTCACTTGAATATGTATTTCTTTGCTTACTGGTAAGGCAAAAGTTTTTTTTCTGTGTTCATTGGCTATTTATATTTTCTCTCATTTATATTTTTTCTTGTGAGTTACCTATTCACGTTCTTTGTCTAGATCCCAGGGTATTCCCAGCCTTATGCTTGACTTTCCTGCCAGGGAGCCATCAGGATAATAGGACATTGTCCCTAAATTGGGGAACTCAGCACATCCTGGGGGAAGAGAGTTGAAGACTGGATGAAACACTTTTCTCACTGTACAAATAGCTATTTAAGTGGCTACATGAGGCTTGAGGTGCTAGAGGCTAAGGACACTGAGACAGGTGGGTAGCAGAGGCCAGCAGTGCCCACAGTAATGTTGTCTCTTGCTTTTCCTGTACAGAGTTTTGCCGGATTGACAAGCCCCTGTGCCACAGTGAGGATGAGAAGCTCAGCTTTGATGCAGTCCGCAGCATCCACAAGCTGATGGACGATGATGCCAATGGTGACGTGGATGTGGAAGAAAGCGATGAGGTGAGCTCTCTCCCCCTGCCGTGGCTCCCTTCTCTTCCTGTTTGGACAGTCCCTGAAGGCTGCCTAGACACTCTTCCCTTTGGAGAGATGTTCTTGGTATTGGCTTGTTCTCTAGGAGCTCCTTCCTGTCAAAGGGAGTGATTCTCAGCAGAACAGCCCTGTAGGAGCCAGCCTGTCCAAGTGAAGGCCTGCTGTCTGTATGCCTCGGCTGGCTCCCATCTGCCTACTGGCTAGAAGTACAACACTGACTGAGCTATGCTGTTTGAGAGGGAGAGAGAGTCCCGAGGTCGGTCTCTATAGTTCCCCTGAACCTATATTGTAATCCTGCTGCAGATGGAGGGCATCAGTCTGTACTTACTATGTACTCAGCCCTGTGTTGGCATGTAGGAGAGACATCAAAACAGTCATTATCTTGCCCTTTGGGAGTTTATAGTCTGTTCAGGAAGAAGAAACACATGTTCCTAGAAAGATTATTCTGAATTCCATGCTGTGGTTGCTGGGAGCTGGTTGAGTGGTCCAGATAATAGGAGCGAGAGGAAACTCTAGATGGAAAAAGCTCTGTTATTGTTTCACCTTTTGGCATTACTACAGTTCCAATTCCACAGAGCCCAGAGTGCAAAGTCATCATGTGTGGAAAGATTGAAAGGTTTTAGTTGATTTCAAGCTCAACGTGGGCCAGCAGTTTGGTGAAGCTGCCAAGTTATGCCAAATCTTTAATAGTGATATGGTGCGTGTCATGGGGAAGAGGTAAGCCTAGTTTTGAGTTCAGTCTTGGATCTCACATTGTCCAAGGTATTTGGAACAGTGCGAGCCTCTACAGAAAAGGGTGACCTGAATGCTGAAGGGTATGGACACTATGAAATGGAGAGCATTCAGTAAAACTTAGTATTTATGGGTATTTATTATGTATGTGCCAGGCACTATTGTAGACATGGGGATGTGGCAGTAAATAGGACACAGACATCTGTCCTCCTATCATTTACAGTCTAGTGAAGAAACTTGAGCCTGGAAAAGAACAGATCCGGGTAATATAATTTGTATCTCACATACATTAGAAGTGGAGGAATTAGATTTTTAAATAACGACAGTGATGGCGATGAAAACTGCAGCACCAGCTCTCCTTTATTGGATTCTTATTCTATGCCAGGCATGGTGTTAAGCTCATGGTGTTAAGGTAGTTGCTCTTTTACCTTTCATAACAGCCTTTTGAAGTTGGTATTATTGTCAAGGACTGGAGCCTTGGAAAGGTGAAGCATTTTGTTCAAGGACACATTGGATATGAGCACAGATCTGATTTCAAAGCTTGTGCTATTAAGTACCACTATATTGTTTCTCTTAAACTAAAGGCAGGACCAGGACCAATGTGGGAAAAGTAAAATATGGCCATATTCTTCTAGAATGAAGAATCGTCTAATAGTGCCATCTTGTCTTAGGAGAGGCCTCCTTGGTAGGTACGTAGTAAACTCCCCGTCACGGAAGATGGGCAAGTAGAATACAGCGCTCTATTGATTGGTTAGCAGAGGGGATCCTTGCATTAGGTTGAACTGGGTAATGTCTAAGTAATTTATAAGAGGAGAAAAATAGACTTCCTGGAGCAGAAGCAGACATTTGGGTGGAGTGGAAGGGGTGGGGCTGCCTGAGTGGTAAGTGGGGAGCCAGTGTGAACACAGATGTGGCGGGGGGGGGGGGGCTCTGACTAGAGCAGGGTGGGTTTGGTTGGATGGAGTGACTATGGGTGGAGGACTGCAGGACAAAAACCTGGAAAGGAAAGTGGGGCCCAGGCGACTAGGCTGAGAGATGAGTACTTATTGAACCTGGCAATTGTAGGTTCTTGAGCAAGGACAACAGGCGTGATGAAAGTTTTGGTCGCATCTTGAAGTGGCACTGGCCCTCAAAGGACCCAGATTTTATTTGTCCACGATGGGAAAAGGACCATGTTCCTGGACGCAAATGAGGACTAGAGGTTTCCCTCTCTCAGGGGGCCTGGCCACAGGACTGGGGGATAGGTGGCACACCAATTAAGAAGGTGATATGATCTAAGTTCCACAAATTCCTGGATATCCTTGTCACCCGCTCCTCCTTCTTTTTTCACTTTCTGCTGAATTGCTTTGTCAATGAGGAGAGGAAGAAAATGTTCTTTTTAGAGGAATGTTACCACAACAAAAAGCTCATCAGCACAAACTGTTCTAAAATAACACAAAAGCTGTCACCCTGCTCTTCTCTGTGCCAGTGGTGAGCTGTTCTTTTTCAGTGTAGCTTCTGCCTTGCTTTGGCTTCAACTTCTCTCCCGGCAGGCTCAGGCCTCTGGTGGTGAGAGGGGCCTGCCAGTCTGGGTTTTCACCATCGGTCACAAGCTACTGTCTTTGAAAGAGAAGGTAATGGTGGCAAAGTATGTGTGCTTAAGTCAGTCTAAACATGTATGAGACAACCTTGGAATTCAGGTTCTAACTTAGCATGTTGGGTGGACCGCTCAGAGCTTAGAATATTGGCTCACGGGTACTGAGCAGAGATGAGACCCTGGTTGTGCTGGCTATGATGGACCTGAGCTTTTTATGACCATTCGAAAGCACCACTGATTCCCCAAGGATTTTAGAGGAAGTCTGAAGGGATATCTTCAGGCTTCATTTGTTCAGCCTCATATCAGCAAGCTTTCCAGGTGACTGAACTATATAACCTCAGTTCTGGATCTTGTAAAATTTTAGCCATTTTTGAAATAAGTCTTTCTTTTTATAGATTATTGTGAACAGAGTGTTAACTTTCTTTGGATCATTCAGAACATGTCATCAGGCCTCTTCTATAACTACCCCAAGGCTTAGATTCCTATGTGCATTGTTGTGATTTCTTCTTTTAATTTCCCTGTCTCTTCTTTGATTCATCCCCATTTCTAATTTCTGTTTACTTCTCTGTGAGCTATGAAATTAGACGTATGGTAAACTGAGACTCAGCAGGCATTGTATAGGAAATATGTAATCATTGGCATGTGGGGCAGCCAGTTTGGCTGCTCCAGTACTGTCTTTGTTTGCTTCTGTCCTAGTTAGCGGAGCTATGGATTGTGGGCCCTTCAGATGAGCAAGGTGGAATTATTGGTGATGGTGCCCTTCTTGGCAAAGCTGGGAGGGAGTTCTACCAAGCCAACAGCATGGAAATTCATGACCTGTGTTGTACTGAGACTTCTGGTGGGGACACTGCCTGTGGGCAATGGATTTGCTACAGTGGGATGGTCCTATCAGGTTGTTCTGACAGTCTGAGGTGGACAGACAGAGGCTGTCTAAACCTGCTGTCGCTTCATGAGCACTGGGTGTTGTATGTAAGTGATAAACCACAGTAATCTACCCCAAAAACCAAGAGCACTTTACACACTGTGTGTTAGCCAATTTGATAATAAGTTATATTAAAACAAACAAACAAACAAACAAACAAACAAAACCATTGTCCCTTCAACTGGATCCCTACAAGGAAAATCAAGGGCATTTATCCAGCCATTAAACAAATTTTTGTTGAATACCTGTTGTAGGACTATGGATTCCGTAACAAACAAAATGGATATGATTTTAGTTTTTATAGAGCTTGCATTCTAGTGGTCTGTATGTCACAGGCAATTAAATGAGAAGTAAAATTCTGAAATTAGGAAGAACTGTGATTATAGTAGTTTAGTGACTTCCCCCCTTTAATTTTCTCAGGTAAAATGGTGGTTAATGATTCCTACCCTTGCAGGGCTATTGTCAGAATTCAGGGAGAAAAGTGCTGGTAAAGTTTCCAGCACAAATAACTCCCAAACTCTACAGAAACCAAACAAGTCAACAAAACATGGGAAAAAATTTGAACAGACACTTCATCAAAGAAGATATATGGATGACAATTAAACACATGGAAAGATGCTCAATATCACTAGCCATTAGGGAAGTACAAATTAAGACCACAGCATGATAGCACCACACGTCCATCAGAATGTCTGAAATTAAAAAATGGACAACACCAAGTGCCAGGCGAGGAGGTAGAGCCACCAGAACTTTTGCTTATAGAGTTTCTTAGAAAGTTAAACACAATTCACTACATGCTCCAGCAATTCTGCTTCTCGGTATTTATCCCTATAGATAAATGAAAATTTATATTCACACTAAGACTTGTACACAAATGTTCATAGCAGCTTTATTCATAAGCGCCAAAAACTGGACAAAAGCAAATGTCCTTCAATGTGTGAATGAATAAACAAACTATGGAAAACTGCTCAGCAATTAAAAGGAATGAACTATTGATGCACACAACATAGATGGATCTCAAAGGCCTTATATTGAGGGAAAGAAAGCAGACTCAAAAAGTTAACGTGCTGTATGATTCCATCTACATGACATTCTGAGAAAGTAGGGATGGGAGCTAGGCCAGTGGTTACTAGGGGTTAGGAATGTGGGGAGGGTTTCATTATCAAGGGGCAGAATGACAGAATTTTTTGGGGGGGGGTAATAGAATTTTCCTGTGTCTGGGTTGTGGGACAGTTAGAAGAATCTAAATGTGTTTCAAAACTCATATGACTATATACCCCTGACCCCCCCCCCCCAAAGTTAATTTCATCATGTGTTAGTTAAGAAAAAAGTTGCCAGTATAGTACCAGACACACAATTCAAGCTCAGTGAATGCTGGTTATTTTCCCCTTTCTGTTTCTTCTGTATTTCCCAGAAAGTTACCTGTATCTGACAGTTGTATTTTAATGTTTGTTTAACTGATGTGTTTCTCTCACCAGACTGTGAGACTTTTCAGGGCAGGGACTGGCCTTATTTGGTTATTTTTCCTTTGTTTCCCCAATGCCCAGCAGAGCCCTGTACAGAATATGTGCTTAATTTAATCATTGGGTGGAATGACTGGCTGATATCTGGGTAGCAGCATAGTGTCTGGCTGAGAAGGGAGGCTTGAGCAAGGGTGTGATCACACATTTTGAGGGGGGGGGGTGGATGGTTAGGTAGCAGTATGAGCCCAGGAAGCTGCAAAATCAACTTATGCTTTTG